AAAAAAAAAAAAATTTCTAGTCCATAGGGCATGGTGGCTCAAGCCTGTAATTGGGAGGCTGAGGCAAGAGAATCGCTGAACTTGAGCTGTGAGAGCCTGAGGCAGGTGGGTACCCAGGCCAATCTTGGATGCAAAGATGGAGAGGTGAATGGAGGCTTTCCAGTAGAAGGGAAGTATAGTATGAGGCTTGAAGGACAACTGGAAATTGACCACATTAAGCAGAGGGAAACAAGAAGTGTGTGTACCAATGCTCATTTCCACCTTGAGGGGTCATACACATATACAAAGCCCTGGATGACGGAGAGAACGTGGCATTTGCCAGGAGTGGACAGTTCAGTCTGACCAGTGCATACAGTGATGGTGAGGATGGTGGGTAAGAGACGCAGCTGGACAGGAAAGTAGAGACAGGGAGGTCGGAGGTCTCGGGCATTATGTGTCATTTTAAAGAATTTGGTGGTGGTTTTTTTTTTTTTTTTGGAGATGGAGTCTCAGTCTGTCGCCCAGGCTAGAGTGCAGTGGCACAATTTCAGCTCACTGCACTCTGCCTCTGCCTCCCAGGTCCAGGTGATTCTCTTGCCTCAGCCTCCCAAGTAGCTGGGATTATAAGCACACACCACCATGCCCAGCTATTTTTTTGTATTTTAGTAGAGACAGGGTTTCACTGCGTTGCCCAGGCTGGTCTTGAACTCCTGACCTCATGATCCACCCGCCTCAGCCTCCCAAAGTACTGGGATTACAGGCATGTGCCACCATGCCTGGCAAGATTTTACTGCCACACAGAGTGCCACCACGCCTGGCTAATTTTTGTATTTTTAGTAGAGATGAAGTTTCACAATGTTGGCCAGGCTGGCCTAGAACTCCTGACCTCAAGTGATCCGCCCGCCTTGGCCTCCCAAAGTGCTGGGATTACAGGAGTGAGCCACTGCGCCCGGCCTGTAGAAGATATTTAAGCAGAGAGCAGGATCATCATCATTTTGGTTTCAGAAATTGCACTTCAGTGGGATTTGTGCAACAGTCTGTAAGAGGGCAGGACTGCAAGAATTTTATTTATAATTCAGCCTTCTGGGCTGGAAAGAATAATGTCCTAGAGGAGGACTGGAAATAGGCAGAGCCAATTCCAGGGAGTTTATGGGGAGGCTGATTGAGCAGGTTGGGTGTGGGGGTGGGGCAGGGAGGAACCCGAGTGGCTGCCAGGTTTCGACAGTAGGCTCACCCAATAGGGCAGGGCCTTCATCAGCTCCTGGCTCTTGCTACTGGGGCGGTACCCACCCACAGTCTCCCTGTTCCTGGACTAAGTTCACAGAAAGCCCCTTCCCTCCCATCATCTTTATGGCCTGCATTCAATTCCATTCCACCTACTATGTGGAGTAGGAAGCACCTATTATGTGCCATGAATGAAGCTTCTCCCAACCTCACCTAAGGGAGTTATCTGGATTACTGAGAGGCTCTGAAGTACAGATGGGAGGTTGAGGGTGAGTAGGAAAGAGGGGAATATCCTGTAGACCCTTAGCCTATGTTCATGTCTTCTCTCCTCCACCAGTGCTGGAGGAACTTGATTCCTGACTTCTTTTTTTTTTTTTTTTTTNTCTGATTATGTTAAAATGTTGCATGTCACATAAATAATGGAATTTCTGTCAATTACATTATAATAAATTCACATAAGATTTTTTTTTTTTTT